GACGAAAACGATGACCTTACCCTATCCCTTTTGCCTGAACCATTGCCCCAAAATGGTGATCATGAGAACAAAGATGAGAGCCTTTCAATAAGGGTTTGGATAGAGACCAAGAAGCTATGGCAAATCGTGGGTCCTGCCATCTTCAGCAGGCTCGCTTCTTACACCATGAATGTCATTACGCAAGCCTTCGCTGGGCACCTCGGTGAGGTCCAATTGGCTTCCATTTCCATTGCCAACACTGTCATCGTCGGCTTCAATTTTGGGCTATTGGTACGTAATTAATATATCAAATACTTTTTGTACAAATGTTACCCTGTTATACTGTCAATTTAAATTAAAAAATTATTTGAAATGCCTTTTGTCTGGCAAGAGAACATTACCCGGAATTTGAGTTTGTGATCTCTAACTGTTCTGCAATTTGCTTATGTGCCCATTAGTTAGGAATGGCAAGCGCATTAGAAACCCTGTGTGGGCAGGCCTTTGGAGCCAAAAGGTACCATATGCTTGGGATATACTTGCAAAGGTCATGGATTGTGCTGTTCCTCTGCTGCTTTCTCCTGACCCCTGTTTACATATTTGCAACTCCAATTCTGAAGCTGCTGGGGCAGACCGATGACGTGGCAGAGCTGTCGGGGGTGGTGGCTCTGTGGCTCCTTCCCCTGCACTTCAGCTTTGCGTTTCAGTTCCCATTGCAGAGGTTCTTGCAGTGCCAGCTTAAGAACATTGTTATTGCTTGGGTTTCTTTAACGGGTTTATTGGTTAATGCATTGGTGAGTTGGCTTTTCATCTATGTGTTGGATTATGGGGTTGTTGGTGCTGCCATTGCTTTGGATATTTCCTGGTGGTTTTTGGTTTTTGGGCTCTATGTGTATGCTGCTTGCGGTTGGTGCCCTCAGACTTGGACTGGTTTCTCTATGCAAGCCTTTTCTGGGCTCTGGGAATTTATCAAACTTTCTGCTGCTTCTGGTGTTATGCTCTGGTACGTGTATTTTCTATTTTCAGTCTTTTTATTTTGTTGGGTTTTCGCTGATTTTCTGTGGGTGGTGTTCTAATTTATTTATGCAGCTTGGAGAACTGGTATTACAGAATTCTGATATTGATGACTGGAAACTTGAAAAATGCAACTATTGCTGTGGACGCCTTGTCAGTTTGGTATGAGATTCTATGTTTCACATTTTAAAAGTATTTTTTTAATTTGTTTTAAGACAAGTTTAATTAATTAAAATTTAGGATTTGATAATCACTGGTTTAGCTAATCCCTTTTCCATTACTGTATTAATGGACTTTACCATGCAGCATGACTATTAATGGATGGGAGCTCATGATTCCTCTAGCCTTCTTTGCTGGAACAGGGTACCATTCTTAACCCTATTTCTAACTTTCTCACTTTTATAATAAAACTAATCATTTAGAAATAAACCTAAAATTATATTAACAGGGTACCATTACTTTTCGTGTAAAATTGTGAGGTAGCTAGCAGCTTGTTGATAATCTTATCACTTTGTATTATAACTTTCGTATTAAAATGGGTAGCTAGCGAGAGCAGCCTTGGCAGTGTAGAGAGAGAGAGAGAGAGAGAGGCAAGACATGTTTGATTGTTTGATAGGTTCTCAAACCTCCCATTTCAGTCAAATTACTTGAATATATGCAGCAATATAATGAAAACAAAAGTACTATTTTCATGTGCTGCTTTTTTCTTACTGCAGCCAAAAAGCTTGAAAACCAACATGAAAACAACTTCTTTGTCACCAAAAAGGCATTAAAGTTTTTAATGCTCTTTTGTACTTTATGGCAAATGTGGTGTAATTCTTGTGATGAAACTCACAGGGTAAGGGTGGCAAATGAGCTAGGAGCTGGAAACTGGAAGGGAGCAAAATTTGCAACAAAGGTTTCTGTGGTAGAATCCACCGTGATTGGTGTCTTTTTTTGTGTACTTATAATGGCACTGCACGACAAAATCGCATACTTATTCACCTCCAGTAGTGCTGTCCTCGAAGCAGTTGATGAGATGGCTTATCTCTTGGGCGTCACAATTCTACTTAATAGCGTTCAACCTGTTTTATCAGGTTTGTTTTTCATGTTATTCATTTGTAACACATTTACAAATCATATTTTTAGCCGTTATTCTAATAAAAATGTGATCCATAAATGTAACTGTGTCTCGTTTCTATTAGAAAAGTGGTTGTACACATTTCATATTTTAGCAATGAACTTGAACAATAATTTTGTTCTAGGAGGGTGTATAATTTACTGATTATATTTCTCACTCGGGTTTCATGGGTTTACAATCTACAGGAGTAGCTGTGGGCTCGGGATGGCAAGCTTGGGTGGCATATATAAATCTCTTCTGCTACTACATAGTTGGGCTCCCACTTGGGTTTTTAATGGGTTGGGTCTTCAACTTGAGTATTGGGGTAAGTTTTGCTCATATATATCTCCCCCTGCATCTACACTTTTCTGTTATGTGTATGAAACTTCTTTTTGTCTATTTCTCCTGGTGTTTTTATTTCTCTCCTCATGTGACCTATTATGTGATAAAATCCGTAATAGGGAAGTTTTAGTCCTTTATAGTACCAAAAATCAGCTGATTGTACCAATTCTATCGTCATATTAGCTGGTTTTGTCACGTGATGGAGACAAATTTTGGTGTCACATTGTTAGCATTAAAAGTGTTTTTTTTTTTTTTTTTTTTTTGTATTTTCCACCCAACATTGTTAGGATTAATGACAATATCTTGACATTTCTTGTTCAATTGATGAAAAACAGGGTATTTGGGGAGGGATGATCTTTGGTGGGACTGGTATTCAGACATTGATATTAGCCATCATCACAATACGACGTGATTGGGAAAAAGAGGTACGATTGATATTGAACACAACAATTATACTTCTATCTCTTGAATTGTGTGGTATGGTCAGTCACCTTCTTGTCGGCCATTCATCACATTTTCCGCATTCAAACTCGTGTTCATACAAACACAAAATTGGTGCTTGAATTTTGCAGGCTGAGAAAGCCAACCAGCGTGTATTACAGTGGTCAACCCCTAAACCAGACAATCAATCAGAAGAACAAGTACATTAGCTGCAAACTTAGGAATTTTTCGTGTGTGTGCTTCTGAGTGTCCATGATTTTTCGCTTGAATTCTGAGGCTACTTTTTCAACCACTGAAGAAAGAAAAAACAAAACAAAACAAAACAAAACAAGATAAAGAGGTGATGCGATTAATTGATTATTTAGTGCAAATTGCAATTCATTTTACTCCGTTATATAATTGAAAGGATAATTGTCGAAATGTCATATGAACTTATACTTGAATTTCAATTTGTCATCTTAAAGAAAAATTTAAGAGAAATGTCACCTTAATTTTTCAAATTCCATGATTTGTCATCTTACTTTAACACCATCCAATTTTTCATTCATTTTGAATGGTATTTTAGTCTTTCTACTGAGACAAACCTGCAAAACGTAGGCCAGCGTCACTGCAGGAAGACCTAGGCTAGAGGATTAGTCCAACGCACAGGTTGATTTTCTGAAGCAATTACTTGCAAAAGTTTCATAACACAACTTAACTCTCAGACTTACCAGGTAGTCCAGCCTATCATTTAGTGTCTGAAACAAACATGACCACAAAATTACATACCTTAGCACAATCACCAAGCCAGCTCACTATGCGACGCGCAACTTGGAATACCTCTCCGAGGGCAACGCACAGGTTGATTTTCTGAAGCAATACCAAGCCAACGCACAGGTTGATTTTATGAAGCAATTACTTGCAAAAGTTTCATAACACAACTTAACTCTCAGATCTACCAGGCAGTCCAGCCTATCATTTAGTGTCTGAAACAAACATGACCACAAAATTACATACCTTAGCGCAATCACCAAGCCAGCTCATTATGCCACGCGCAACTTGGAATACCTCTTCGAGGGCAGCCAGAGTAGCCTGTGGCAAAGATGAAATTTAGTAAAGATAATCTAGATTTAATAACAAATGTTGAAGGACGTTTTTAAATTTTAGCTAATAATCCAAATGATAAAACCAAGAAATTTCTGCAGTTAATTCTTGATTCACATATATAAGGGTGAAATTTGGTGGCTGGAACACTTAGGAGGTTGTTCACTTACTTTAGCAGCATAGCAAGTTGCAGTGAATAGTAGTCTGTCATCGGTAATAAGAACCTTCTCTTCTAATCTTCTTTTTCTTTGTTCACGTGCCCCAACATAGATAACACCATATACTGAAGTCATTACAGTCTACTTCACCAATTTCCTATCAATCTGAAAGATTCCAAAACCATACATTGTCATATATACGTATGCAATAGTTTAGTACCAGGTGCATCTTTCTCACCTTTTTTGTACATTGGCTTGTAAGAAATGGTCTTTCGTTTAAACTTCGTACTTCATGTAAAAGTACTGAAATGTTCTTATTTCAGTACTTTTACATGAAGTTGTTTCTTTGGAAATTGGACCTATGGATTATAAGTGGGCAAAAATGTGGAGTGGCTGAGGAATACAATTGTGCAAGAGATGTCGACGGATGTGTTGGGAGGTCTTTGACCGTAAAGCTGAAGGTTGTCATGCAGCTTTCTTTTCATTTCAAGCAGGAAAATACTCGTGCTTTCTTTTCCCGTAGTAACGATAATATAAATTTCGAGTTTTGAGTTTATAGTTGGAAGTTTGTAACATATATTGAGACGATCACAGTTGCACTTTCTCATTGTGCCAATTTCCAAGAAATTGGCATCCATGGCTCAAATGGATATGCTGGGCTTTAGGACTAATACTAGAGACGACCATGAGGATTTATCATAATGCGGTCACATCCTGGATGCCATTTCGGAGGATTTATCCCAATGCAATGTGTGAGGATGTTGGATGTGAACTCTCTGAGGATTTATCCCAATGCGATCACATCCCGGGCATCAAAAAGCCAAAGGTGCTACTTTTTACATTCTTGTCTGATTGGCTTTCAACATAATATAACATCAAGTTTGTCAATAGATCACCAATTTATAGACACAATATTTTGACCTTGGACCTCTGGTGCAGCTGGGGATCATTCTTCCTGATATAGCCTATGCCTTTTTTCTCTCACACTCACAAGGCTCAGAAGGAAACCATGCTACTCTTGGACAAGGTCTAGTCTTGTTTGCATTTTCATATTTTATGAGGAGGAGTGATGTATAAAAATCTGTTTTGCTTCATTACCAGTTTATCATTGTCTCTGGTGTGCAGATCCTAGCTGAAAGGGTGTCCCTGTATGATGAAGGGAAAAGAGACTACTTTCATTTGGAAAGAATGCTGGTAGGACAAGATTTATCGACTTCCTGCGTGGGTTTTTTCATTGTCCTTTTTTTTATAACCTTCTTTCACTTTTTCTCATTCTTTCATTCTTTCTTTTCTTTTTCAAGGGTACTTAAGTCTTGGATATTCAACACCGTTCCTCCTATTGGGTTCATGTTATGTATCTGTCCTTGGATGCTGCCAAGGCTGCAGTGATTTCCGTGGGTGAAGAGATAGTGACTCTGGGACTGCCATCAGGAATCTGCCCCTGGTTTTTGCCTTCACCGGTTCAGGAAACGGTGCATTGCATATAAATCTCCTCTCATGGCCATCAACATTTCTGCAAGTGCAACTCGAGAACAAAATTTTTGACGTTGTATAGGTGGATTGCAGAGTTCAAATGTATCTTATTGTACTTATTTATATTTTTTTAACTCGATACTGTTTTTTTTAGTATCAGTCAGTTCGCATGATGCTGAGCACCATTTTTTTAGTACCACTCAGATAGCATGATGCAGGATTTTAATATTTCTTATGAAAACAAAATTCTGGTATCAAAATAGCTCTGATGTAACTATATTTCCTGTACTTTCTTCTGGCGCACAAGAGATTTTCAGCTTCTTCCTCGATGCTCATGCTTCTGTGGATCCTAGCATACTTCCAGAGGCGCGCGGCTGTACTATTTTTCAGAAAAACCGTAGTACAGCCGATCGGCTATACTATTTTTATTATTAAAAAATACGAGTATAACCGCGCGGCTATACTATTTATTTAAAAACACGAGAAGCGCCTAGCTCTTAGCGCCCACTTCGCCACGTGTCCAAAATTGTATAGCCGGGCGGCTATAGGGACCTGGTCGTATAGCCGCGTGGCTATACTATTTTTGTTATAAAAATCCGTGTATAGCCGAACGGCGATACTATTTATTTAAAAAAATAAAGGCCCGCCTGGCGGGTTAAGCCTATTCCGCCATGTGTCAAAAATAGTATAGCCGCACGGCTATAGAACCTAGGTCTGTGCAAAATACAGGATACATGACAACCCTGCTTGCTTCATACATATGCCAACTAAATGCGTAATTTAGTATATTCCAACCTTGAGTTGAATTTTTAAATAGGTTCAAAGTATTTACCTTAATTCAGATAAGTGAGAATTATTTGTGAGCGGTGCACTTACTGATCTCAAAGTACAGAGGCTGAGAGGCACAAAAATATTCAGTTTCATTGTCGAAAGCAACATAACATTTGGCATCTCGAAAACAAATATCATAACTTTGATTCTCAGAATAAACAGAAGCTGCTTGCTCACGAGCTCATAAAACTACAAGGTTATTACTGCTAATCAGAATTCTGGTACGGCCTTGCTGCTACCAAAGCATGACCTTGTATTTCTCTGTGTTTTTTCTTTTCTCATTTTTAAGTCCAAAAAAAAACAGTAAAATTTATTTTTAAAAAACCATTAGAAATGTCCCGAAGAGACAAGAAGGGCCTTCTACTCAACAGCATGATTCTTCTTGTAAAAAAGCCGAAGTTATACTCCATTTTCTATGTTCTCCTAAAATGACCAGTGTGGTCTTCCACTCAAATTAAGTAACAGAATGATCTTCCCCATAAACAAGAGAGAGAGAGAGAGAGAGAGAGAGAGAG